TGAGTTCAATCACTCTCCGATGTTTTTTTTCGGGTTGTACCGCATGGTGCTTGAGACAATGTCCGACGTTTCGCTCCAGATCCTGGGAAACTCTTTTTCAAGAACTAAATTGTTCGTTTCAAGAATATTTCAGCAGTTCCTGAAGCTGCCCGCGAGTGGAGCGAAACGTCGGACACCGTGCCCAACAACGCACGACACATCCCGAAAACACATCGGAGAGCTGTACAACACAACTGCAAAAACAAATCCTGCGCAGTTTTACGTTCAAGATTTACTCCCGTATACTGTATATCTGAGAGACCATGTACTGTATTTACGGGAGCGTTCTCTGTTGTCAATCAGCTGCTGTGAATGTTAAATGCTCCTGTCACCAGGACGAACGCATCGTGGTGACACGTGGTTGTGTTATGTTCACTCTGCCTTCATAGGTCTGTGAGTGATGCTGCAGATATGTCACTAGAACGCCGCAATTTGTTCGGTGTTTGCGTTTTGGGTTGTGTCCTTCTGAAATAAAATAGACTGGATAGAACGTGAGCATCTGCTGTCAGAAAATAATGATCTGCACAATGTCTTTTGGGTTGTATCGCCACGATTGTCTGGCATTGTCACTGAACGTGGCGTAAGCTTCTGCAGGTACTGAACAGGAACGGTTCTTGAGAAAGCTCCAAGCACGTAATGCTGTTCGCGAACTGGTTCCAGTTCAGTTCCTTAAAAAGTGAACCATCTGGCATCATGCAGAACAACACGTGGCAGGAGCCAGATCATAATTATCGTCTATTAGTCAAAAGCAAGGCCGTAGCCATGGAGTCAACATTGTGGGGGACCAAATCTTCAAGGCCCCCCCCCCCCCCCAGAAAAAAATATCTAAATTTGAAAACGAATTTCCTGCCTAAAATATTTAAAATTCACTAACACGTAGGATGGACTTTTTATTCATTTTTTACAATAATGTCTAATAGTGTATTGTATTACATTGCTCTGTTTTTTTAATCTTTTCTTGTTTCATTGTAACGGCAGAGATTAGGGATTAATAAAGTACAACCATAACCACAATCATATAAACAGAAATCTATTTTATAGCAATATATATATTTGAATATTGGGGGGGGGTGTGACCCCCCCCAATATATATTATAATTACGGCCTTTGTCAAAAGGCCAGAGTATAAACCGGTACCACCTAAGGTAGTAAAAACCTTAGTAGTTTAGTACCGATGTAGTTACATGGCTCATAAGAGTGAATTACTTGATAACCCACTCATTACAAATGGATGTCGCACAATTCCCAGTGTTTTTCTGGCCACAGCAAGTGAAAACACTGCATTGTATCTGGTCTGGGCCCACGGAGCTACGATGTGGATAAATGTTCTTGCGACAACATCCACCAAGGGTCTTGTCTGTCTGTCAGCGTCCCCTGGGTCTCCTCGGGCGAGGATGTGGGGGAGCGTCAGGAGGTATGTGTGTGTGTGCGGGCGGCAAGCATGCGTCATCGTCCACGTGTGAACATGTGCTGAGTGAAGTCTGGTTGAGTTGGCTCTTAAGTTGGTGGGAGAGAGGGGGGGGGGCATTGTGTACGATCTTACTTTCCATCTGTGTAGATTGCACTTCTTTTCAACGTATGTATGTTGAATTTCTTTTGCGCCGTACGGAGGTGCGGGGAAAGGACAGAGAACTAAACTCAATACTCGACTTAAAGCTTTCGTGACTGCAGGGATTCATATTGTTTGGGTCTTTCGGTAAAGTCACGTAGATAGGTTCAAAGAAAATAACAAAAGATAACAAACAAACAAAAACCCACGACGTTTCGTTCGTCATCACGAAGAAAAAAAGATGATGACGAACGCTTGTGTTGCAATCGAAACGTCGTAGGTTTTTTTGTTACTTTTTGTTATTTTCTTTCAACCTATCTACGTGACTTTACCGAAAGACCCAAATAATATAAACTCAATACGCGGTTCTTAAGAAATTAGTGGCTCCGTGAATGTTCATTTTAAAACGGGTTAAAGTCTACATAATAGCACCTTCCCAGTAATCATGCCACGCGTTGACCCCACCGTCGTTGGCATGTGACCCAGCGCTGGCATATTATGGGTTTTGATTTAAAGCTTTCGTGGCTGCAGGGATTCATATTCTTGGTTCTTTCGGTAAAGTCACGTAGAAGGGGGATTTTTTTTTATAAATAAATACCCTCTTTTTTATTATGTCCCTTCTACGTGACTTTACCGAAAGAACCAAGAATACATATTATGGGTCGTGAGTTGTAATCGTTGGGCCAACAGCAGCGGTCCCAATGCCGCGTGTTCACTGGGGTGGAGGGCTGCTCGCATCGAAAACGTCCTCGGAATTCCCGTAGACCGCACGTGGACACGTTCAGAGTTGTGTGTCCTGGTAACCAGTGGACCAAAGCCCCACGAAGACCAGAGAGCCCGTGTTCTTTTAGAGGGGAACCTACTAGGGTTGCACTGAACGGAAAACACACAAACACACACTGTTGATGTTGTAGAAAGTATTCAAATCTTGAAGTATTACTGTGCTTTGCTGGAGGAATAATAATCGGGTGCCAATTCTGACAGCGTTTCAGGATGAAAGCTCGCTGGCGGTTTTAACTTGAATTATTATAATAACTATTTGGTTCTTTCGGTAAAGTCACGTAGAACGAAAATTTGACAGAGAGAGACAAAACACAGACATGGAGACACACAGACAGACACACAAGCAGAGAGAGACAACACAGAGACACACAGAGAGAGAGACAACACAGACACACAAGCAGAGAGACACACAACATAGACACACAGAGAGACACACAGAGAGAGACAACACAGAGACACACAGAGAGAGACACAGGGAAAGAAACACAGAGAGTCACACAGAGAGAGAGAGACACACAGAAACACACAAGCAGAGACAACAAGAGACACACAGAGAGAGAGACACACAACATAGACACACAGAGACCCAATGCCTCTGTGTCGTGGCCTTAAATATTATAACCTTTTGAGATACATCGGCACACGCACAAAACGATGCAACAGACGTTGCGCAAAGAAGTACAAAGATGGGGAAAATCACCGCAACCAACAATGTGCACAAGCTAAACAAGCCACCCACAGATAGATGCCCGTCAGATTTCATTCCTCTGCTTAATGTCAATTTAATTGGCGGTAACAAGAATGAGAAATGCGTTGCGTGCACAGGAGCAGCAGCAACAGCATCACAACAACCACCACCATCACCACTATATCTGCTTTTTGAATGTTGTGTTTAGTTTAACACGTAGACTTTCGCGAGCAATATTATTCATAATCAACGTTTTTGGGTTAGATCGCGTTATTTATAAATGTGTCGTAATCCTCCACCACCCGACACGGCCAATCAGCAAAAAAAAAAGTGTCACGTTGACAAAAGACAAAATAGTTCACTGCTTTAGCCCACCGGTGTGTTGAAGCGTGAAACCACAACATTAATAAAATTGTAAATGTTGTGGTTTCATGCTTCAACACACCGGTGGGCTAAAGCAGTGGACTATTTTGTCTTTTGTCAATGTGACACTTTTTTGCTGATTGGCCGTGTCGGGTGGTGGAGGGTTACGACACATTTATAAATAACGCGATCTAACCCAAAAACGTTTATTATTAATTGTGTGTTTAGTTTGTTGTCCTTCCCCTGCACCTCAGATGAACCACGTGGAAGACTTTTCTGCTTTTTCCAGGATTTTCTTGTTGCGTGTAGTCACTTTAAGATGTTTCTTGATCATGTTTTTGTTTCGTTGGGGTTGCACCCGAGTCAAGGGCCGCACGGCTCACAGGGTTATACCAAATACATGAAACTGAAAAAATTAAAGACACACACACACAGCCACACACACACAGCCACACACACACATCCACACACACCCCCCATTACACACACTACACACACCCAGCCACACACAGCCACACACACACACCACACAGACACATACACCACACACATACCACACACACACACAGCCACACACACCCCCCATTACACACACCCAGCCACACACACACACAGCCACACACACAGCCACACACACACAGCCACACACACAGCCACACACACAGCCACACACACACACAGCCACACACACACACAGCCACACACACACAGCCACACACACAGCCACAGCTACAGACACCCCCCATTACACACACCCAGCCACACACACACAGCCACACACCCCCCATTACACACACTACACACACCCAGCCACACACAGCCACACACACACACCACACCGACACATACACCACACACACCCCCCATTACACACACACAGCCACACACACACAGCCACACACACACAGCCACACACACCCCCCATTACACACACCCAGCCACACACACACAGCCACACACACACCCAGCCACACACACACAGCCACACACACACCCAGCCACACACACACAGCCACACACACCCCCCATTACACACACCCAGCCACACACACACAGCCACACACTCACACACAGCCACAAACCCAGTCACACACACACACAGCCACACCCCACACACACAGCCACACACACCACACACCACACACACAGCCACACACACCACACACACAGACACTCATAGCCACACACACACAGCCACACACACACAGGCACACACACACACAGCCACACACACACAGCCACACACACACACACCCTCTCTCTCTTCACGTCTCCCCCCCGCCCTTAGCTCAGCCCAGACCTCCTCCTCCTCCCTCCCTCCACCTCCTCCTCCTCCACCACCAACTCCTCCCTCCACCTCCACCACCAACTCCTCCTCCTCCCTCCCTCCCTCCACCTCCTCCACCACCAACTCCTCCCTCCACCTCCACCACCAACTCCTCCTCCTCCCTCCCTCCCTCCACCTCCTCCTCCTCCACCACCAACTCCTCCTCCTCCCTCCCTCCACCTCCTCCTCCTCCCTCCCTCCCTCCACCACCACTGGGGTCCTTCCCCTCCCCGCGTTCACAATCCCGAGCAAGCGGAGCAAACACTTCGCTTCCCCACAGACACACACAGGGAGAGAGACAGACAGACAGACTCAAGGAGACAGACATACACAGGGAGAGACAGACACACAGGGACAGACACACAGGGAGAGAGACACACAGGGAGACAGACACACACGGGGAGAGAGAGAGACACGGGAACCCAGGCGTCGGCGTCGTCTGCTCTATCGCACGCGTGCGTACACGGAACGCCGGGGTGGTGGTGGTGGTGGTAGTGGTTGTGGTGGTTGTGGTGGTGGTGGTGGTGGTAGTGGTTGTGGTGGTTGTGGTGGTGGTGGTGGTAGTGGTGGTGGTGGTTGAGGTGGGTGGTTGTGGTGGTGGTGGTTGTGGTGGTGGTGAGAAGACGCCAGCACGGCTCTGTGAGCTCCGTCCTGGGGATCTCGGTGAAATCTGCCCCGCCGTGTTTAATATACACACACAGAGAGACACAGAGAGACACAGAGACACACACACAGAGAGACACAGAGACACACACACACACACAGAGACACAGAGACACACACACAGAGAGACACAGAGAGACACAGAGACACACACACAGAGAGACACAGAGACACACACACACAGAGACACAGAGACACACACACAGAGAGACACAGAGAGACACAGAGACACACACACAGAGAGACACAGAGACACACACACAGAGAGACACAGAGACACACAGAGACACACACACAGAGAGACACAGAGACACACACACAGAGAGACACAGAGAGACACAGAGACACACACACAGAGAGACACAGAGACACACACAGAGAGACACAGAGACACACAGAGACACACACACAGAGAGACACAGAGACACACACACAGAGAGACACAGAGACACACACACAGAGAGACACAGAGACACACACACAGAGAGACACAGAGACACACAGAGACACACACACAGAGAGACACAGAGACACACACACAGAGAGACACAGAGAGACACAGAGACACACACACACAGAGACACAGAGACACACACACAGAGAGACACACACAGAGAGACACAGACACACACAGACACACAGAGAGACACACACAGACACACACAGAGAGATATTATATCATAAATAGGTTCCTCTTGAAAAAATTAAAACGTCGAGATTTAATATTTTATTATTTTATTTGGTATTCGCTGCCGCGTCCGCGTGTGGATTTCCGGCAGCACGTGTCTCGGCGAGGGTGGAGGGGAGATCGCTCACGGTAAGGCGGCGTGTCCGACGGTTCGTGCCGCACCCTGCCTCGCACGCACACGCGGCCACCCTCTCGTGTGCAGCCTCCTTTGCATCTCTCGCTCGCTCTGTCTCTCAGTTGGTGGTGGTGGGTAGTTGTGGTGGGTTTGTGGTTGTGGTGGGTTTGTGGTTGTGGTGGTTTGGTGGGTGTGGTGGTTGTGGTGGTTTGGTGGTGGTTGTGATGTGGTGGGTTGGTGGTGGTGGTAGTGGATTGGTGGTGGTGGTTTGGTGGTGGTTGTGATGTGGTGGGTTGGTGGTGGTGGTGGTGGTTGTGGTGGGTTGGTGGTGGTGTGTTGGTGGTGGTTGTGATGTGGTGGTGGTGGTTGTGGTGGGTTGGTGGTGGTGTGTTGGTGGTGGTGGTAGTGGATTGGTGGTGGTGGTTTGGTGGTGGTGGTTGTGGTGGTTTGGTGGTGGTTGTGATGTGGTGGGTTGGTGGTGGTGGGTTTGTGGTGGGTTGGTGGTTGTGATGGGTTGGTGGTTGTGGTGGTGGGTTTGTGGTTGTGGGTTTGTGGTTGTGGGTTTGTGGTTGTGGTGGGTTGGTGGTTGTGGGTTGGTGGTGGTTGTGGTGGTGGGTTGGTGATGGTGGGTTGGTGGTTGTGGTGGGTTCGGGTGGTGGGTTGGTAGTTGTGGTGGGTTGGTGGTGGTGGTTGTGGTGGATTGGTGGTGGTGGTTTGGTGGTTGTGGTTGTAGTGGTTTGGTGGTGGTTGTGATGTGGTGGGTTGGTGGTGGTGGGTTTGTGGTGGGTTGGTGGTTGTGATGGGTTGGTGGTTGTGGTGGTGGGTTTGTGGTTGTGGGTTTGTGGTGGGTTGGTGGTTGTGGGTTGGTGGTGGTTGATTGGTGGTGGTGGTTTGGTGGTGGTGGTTGTGGTGGTTTGGTGGTGGTTGTGATGTGGTGGGTTGGTGGTGGTGGGTTTGTGGTGGGTTGGTGGTTGTGATGGGTTCGGGTGGTGGGTTGGTAGTTGTGGGTTGGTGGTGGTGGATTGGTGGTGGTGGTTTGGTGGTGGTGGTTGTGGTGGTTTGGTGGTGGTTGTGATGTGGTGGGTTGGTGGTGGTGGGTTTGTGGTGGGTTGGTGGTTGTGATGGGTTGGTGGTTGTGGTGGTGGGTTTGTGGTTGTGGGTTGGTGGTGGTTGTGGTGGTGGGTTGGTGATGGTGGGTTGGTGGTTGTGGTGGGTTCGGGTGGTGGGTTGGTGGTGGTGGATTGGTGGTGGTGGTTTGGTGGTGGTGGTTGTGGTGGTTTGGTGGTGGTTGTGATGTGGTGGGTTGGTGGTGGTGGGTTTGTGGTGGGTTGGTGGTTGTGATGGGTTGGTGGTTGTGGTGGTGGGTTTGTGGTTGTGGGTTTGTGGTTGTGGGTTTGTGGTGGGTTGGTGGTTGTGGGTTGGTGGTGGTTGTGGTGGTGGGTTGGTGATGGTGGGTTGGTGGTTGTGGTGGGTTCGGGTGGTGGGTTGGTAGTTGTGGTGGGTTGGTGGTTGTGGTGGGTTGGTGGTGGTTGTGGTGGGTTGGTGTGTGTGTTGTTACAGTGTGTTTGTTGTTAGTGTGTTTGTTGTTACAGTGTGTGTGTTGTTACAGTGTGTGTTACAGTGTGTGTGTTGTTACAGTGTGTTTGTTGTTACAGTGTGTGTGTTGTTACAGTGTGTGTTACAGTGTGTTTGTTGTTACAGTGTGTTTGTTGTTACAGTGTGTGTGTTGTTACAGTGTGTGTTACAGTGTGTGTGTTGTTACAGTGTGTTTGTTGTTACAGTGTGTGTGTTGTTACAGTGTGTGTTACAGTGTGTTTGTTGTTACAGTGTGTTTGTTGTTACAGTGTGTGTGTTGTTACAGTGTGTGTTACAGTGTGTGTGTTGTTACAGTGTGTTTGTTGTTACAGTGTGTGTGTTGTTACAGTGTGTGTTACAGTGTGTTTGTTGTTACAGTGTGGGGAGCGGTAGTGTAGCGGTTAGCGCGCTGCGCTATGAACCTGGCGACCCGGGTTCGATTCCCGCTCACGGCTAACACCAGTGACGATTATCTGAACCGGTCCTGGGCCTCCCCTAGGTCGACTCAGCCTTAAATGAGTACCTGGTGCGGTGTGTAAACATCGCCACTAGGGAGACAAAGGCGGTCGGGCGTGGTGCTGGCCACCCACCCCCTCGTGTACCGTTCCGGCCTTCATAGGTGCTCGCTAACAGCACTTGCCCCTACAGTCTGTTCAGGCTATACGGGGGATCTTTGTCTTTGTGTTGTTACAGTGAGTGTTACAGTGTGTGTGTTGTTACAGTGTGTGTGTTGTTACAGTGTGTGTTGTTACAGTGTGTGTTACAGTGTGTGTGTGCGTGCGGCTAACACCGGTGACGATAATCAGCACCGGTCTTGTGCCTCCCCTAGGTCTACCCAGCCTCAAATGAGTTACCTGGGTTGCGTTACGTGTAAAACATCGCCACTGGGGGAGACAAAGGCGGCCGGGCGTGGTTGCTGGCCACCCAGCCCCCTCGTGGTGTCGTGCCGACCTTAATAGGTGCTCGCCAACAGTCTGTGCAGAATATATGTGCGTCTCCCTGTGTCACAGTGTTGTCAATGTGCGCCCTTGATTCCCCTACTCACCCACCCACCCGGCCTCTCTCCACGTATTTGTTGATGGCAGCAAGCTCATTGTGTGTGCAGGTTTGCCTCGGAGATGCCAAAGTCGATGTTCTTGACCAAGAGAATGAGAAAGAGGGCTTCCCCGAGCGAAGAGAGAGTTTGAGTAGTTTTTTTAAAAATCAAATTCCTCATCCGGTAAACGAACCACAAACCCAGGGTTGGGTTACTTGTACAGAGCCATCGGGGTTTTTAATTTTTTTGGAGGGTTTGCACGGACACAATCGTGGTTATTTTTGTTGTTGTTGATGTCTGTGGTGGTTATTATTTCAGATGTTCTTTTGGTGGCGGGGGTCCCTTGCAAAGGGTTTTTTCGCTGGTCTGGCAGGGTTCAATGCTTGACCCCAGGCTCTCTGGCTTGTTGGTCAATGTGGATCACTGGTTGGCTTCGGCCACACGAAGCTGTTTTTTTTTTTATCAGTGCCAATAACATGCTTCGGATTGTGTGTTGGATAGCAAGGACTCACATTTGAATTTCCCCGATGGCTCGTGGTAGTCTAATGCGTTTCATGTTCGTAATGAAACGTTCTGACACACTGCCTTATTCATATTAATGACTCGCATCATTTATGCCGGAGATGTTAAAGATTTAGGCCACTGAAAAGTTAGTGCCCGTCATGTTTTTGATTTATTAACCGAGGCCCAGCTGGCAATGTGGCCACAGATAATATTGTACAGAATTGAGTTTGTTAACGCATTCATTTGTGACTTAAATGAGCCATCGTTAAGGGTTTATTTTACTCTCCACGCGTGATCCATAAACACGTTGGTGGAGATTTCGATTTAAAGCTTTCGTGACTGCAGGGATTCATATTCTTGGTTCTTTCGGTAAAGTCACGTAGAAGGGAAACAGAGCTGTCGGAAAGACAGCGTCCTAAAGACAGCGTCCTAATGTCCTAATGTTAGGACGCTGTCTTTCCGATAGCTCTGTTTCTTCACCTGAGGACGGCTGCTTGCGTTGTGGCCGAAACGTCGTGAGAATTATTTAATTGGTTAAATTTTATTATTTTATTATTTCCCTTCTACGTGACTTTACCGAAAGAACCAAGAAGATGAATCCCTGCAGTCACGAAAGCTTTAAATCGAAATTTACCTTATCATGTTTTATTTTCATTATTATATTATTTCCCTTCTACGTGACTGTACCGAAAGAACCAAGAATATACTTTGGTGGAGAGCAGAAATAAAGAGGTTTGTTACGCGACACTTTATAACAATGTAAATGTGTTTTTGGCGTGTTGTTATAGATAGAGTGTATTATGCGAACCAGCTGTGAAAGAAAAAGGGATGAGTTAGCAGGAATTGCGTTGCCTGTCCACGGCTGCTTTAGCTCGAACTGAAGATGCGCGTCTGGGTTGTTTAGCTCCAAGAAGCTGGGAGTTCGAAGCCAAAAGTAATCGTTGCGTTTCATGGTTGAACCCAGAAAACAAGGCAGTTCTTATTCACTGCTGTCATCCTGGCCAAGTGCTCATTCTTACATCTGGCTGTCCATTGATTTGGTCAAGAAGATGCCAAATTGATCTGGTGCAGTTTCCATCTGGTGCAGTGCACCTCCAAGCCACCATCGGCTCCCTTGCACGCCCCTTTTTAAAAGGAGAGTTAAAGACTTAGAGACTCCGCATTTGTGTGTGGCACCACGTGGCTCGTGCAAGTCTCAAATTGGCCACATGCCGGGAGACAAATGTACGCCGCTTTTGCCGGTGTCCGAGTCTTTGGGAGTCGGGTGGAGCAGCAGTGAGCATCGTGCTTCTGATGGGACACACATGTTGTCTGCCCCCAGCGGAATGTTTGGACAATTTGAAGGTTCTCAAGAGTGCGACTGAGATATGATACAATGAAAAGAAAACAACGTGTTTCTTGACAGTGTAAAATTGGAGCAGATATGATGAATGGCTCGGTTTTTTTTTCTTGTACCCCTGTGTTCAGTCAATTTAAACGTACAAAAATGTTTTAAATCACCCGCGGCCACCCCCCTCACCCCCCCCAGAAAAAAAGTTTCCCACAAATGGACAGTTTGAAGGGCAAATGGTAAATTTCATATATTATCTTTCCGTGTTGTATATACAGTGGGGAGTTGTGGCAGAGCGGTTGACGCGGTATGCAATGATCCTGGCAACCCGAGTTCGATTCTTGCTCACAGCCAACATCGGTAACAAAATTCGTAGCCAGTCCTGGGCCTCCCCTAGTTCGACTCAGCTTTAAATTGAGTACCTGCTGCAATGCGTAAATATCAACATTGGCAATGCTGGCCACCCACCCCCTCGTGTGCCGTGTTTCATAGGCGCTTGCTAACAGCACTTGCTCTGACAGTCTGTCAGAGAGCTATAGCAGGAGATCTTTGTCTTTGTATATACAACGTAATCTGCCGCAGCCACGTACCGTGTATGAATTACACTGTCGTGCAAAAGATGCTGTACGTTGGACTTTTTCAGCTTCAAAGCTCACGCTCTCTACCCACGAATTGTGCTCTGGTTAAGATTACGCTGGCCGCAGCCAGTCGCGGCCCTCCCAAAGTGGCACTCCAGGCAGCTTTTCATTAGGAGGAGCCTGCGATCGTATCCACAGAGAGCGTCTTTAGGGTACGGCGATACTGGTGCCGTCAAGAGAACAATTTACAAAAATGCCGGTTGTTTCTACAAGGGCATGGTAGTTCTCGATTGACAGCAAGGGTCCCCCATGCATCCTAATGGGATTGCCACCCATGCCTCCGGGTGAAATCCAGGCACCCGCGTTCAATTGGATTTGATTTCCCGCACGGTTGCACCACCGGGCCCTGCCGAGGACAAACCACCACCGGCGGCGGCCCACCAGGCGCGGCACGGCGTGGACGAGATGGGCGGTGGGCGATGGCGAGGACACCCGGGACACCCGGGCGCGGACGCTTGGGTTGGGGGGGAAGACTCTTGTTGTTTATGATGGGCAATCTGCGTTGGTCATCGGCGAGGCGTTTTACAGGCCTTGCTTGCGTGCGCGGCCACAGATGTGACGGCTTAAGCAGGCGCTCGTGAAGATGGGTCCGGTGCGTGCACACACACAAGGCCCCGAGCTTGGCAGCTTGCAGCAGCAGTTTGCACAGCGTCAAGGTAACGGCGGCGGACGATTTCCCCCGACGCAATTTCCTACAAATTGTCTGCGGTCGTAGCAATTGACAGGTTATCCAGGATTATCGCGTTATTGCTCTTTGGAAGTGGGTCCTCTTGTGTGAACGTCTGCACTCTCATTGTCGGCATGATAATTTCGCTGTGATCAACCGCACACGCAACAGGTTATGCTGAGGTTGACGGTGCATTTGGCCCAAGTGTTTTGATTCCTGCAGGCACAGTGCAGCGTACGTGAAAAGTTAATTTCTGAAATGCATTTCTGCATTCACTTGATAAAATGTCTTATGGAGTGGTATGTGTTTGGCTTGTGCTCCTGTACAATGTCGGCTTTCTAGGGAGACCAGTTCCTAAACAAATTACATTGCTCATGCCCCGGATAGGACGTTGCAAACGCAGCAGTAGTAGGAGCCAATACCTGTTCAGTACACGTGGGATGAAATTAAATATAGGCGCCAAAGTGGATTGGCTTGTTGTGACTGTTAACGTGGCTGAGAGCGATTGAGGAGACGTTGATCTCGCGCCTTTGAAGACCTTGGGCTCCGTCGGTGGCGTTGAAATACCCTGGTGCCTTATTTGGCGACATAAGCTCCGTTCGTGTTCACAAATTAAAGTTGGAACCGCAGACTGATGGCCTCCAGCAACTTGGAGAAGCCGGGGTGGAGGGGTTATTGGATGATAGCACAGTATGGCAGCGGGGCAGTTCTCAGGGTTTTGGGAGTAGAGCACTCAGAACGATTGTCGTGAAGTCGTCCTTTACTTGGGCGTTGTATGGCAACCAATTAGGACTGCAATTAAGGGAGAACTAAAATGTGTCCACCTTTCTAAATGGCAGTGACATGCTCATAAATACTGCGGCGGTGCCGTCCATGCTGGGATTGTCTTGGTGCATTGAGATTCGTGCATGTGTCAAACCACTGATTTATTCCATTAATAAGCCATATTTTCTAAAATCGATAGACAATTACCTTCAAAGTGACACCCAATACTGTACTCAAAATTTAACAACATAGATAAGCAGACGAAATGTCTCTTTGTTTAGTTATATATTTTGTATCTATTTATATCCTTTACAATGATGCGACGATTATTTAGTGTTGTGTATTCGGCTGATTTAGCAATTTTCACCGAGGTTGCCCGATTTATCCCACTATCCTCGTGTGATGATGCATCAATTAATACATATGATCAAGCTCACTATTTACACATTAAAATCGTGTGCAAGAATTAAAGCCAGTGGTGTCGCAATTGAGTGTGCAGGCGGTGCAATTGCACCGGGTGGTCATGCCAACCACGCTTCGCCACTGAGCGAGGTTCTTAGATTTGTATATATTGTGGGTAATGAGTTGACGTTGCCACCAGCATCGACGAACGGCTGCTCGAATTCGCGAGAGTCTTAACAAAAGAAAGTATACTAATATTCCGTCGCAACCCCGAATCGTGGCAAATGCATTGCGAAGGGGGGGGGGGGGGTAAACGTTCCACCAATAGGCATCACGTGAGCACCATGTGGTGAAAATCAACCGTGGTATGTTGGGTGAGTCTGGTCTCCTCCATAGTAATGTGGAATTTCCACCGCTGGCTTGGCAACACATATGGGGACGTGCCCTCTCCCGGTGCTGGGTTCAGCTTGACGGACACTTTGACCTTGATATGCAAATTATTTTGTCAAGGCGCTCTCTTCCCCCTCCAACCCAGCTTAAATATACGCTCCAAGCCTGGGGTGTTTCATTCAGAAGCTGTCTTCCCGACAGACCTGTTCTTCACCTGAGGACGGCTG